ATTGGTTGGGTAACCTGACAAAGAAGTGTAGTGTGTGCTCTCCAACTATGAATCATGTTCATTTACCACTGTAGTTTTTTAAGTCTTTGACAGTGCTGTCCAACAGCAACTTTGCATTGATAATTAAAGAAAAATGTGCTGATGTTCAAATCGGCCTCCAGCAGGCTCAGGATCACAAGCTCTCTTTTTCCAAACAATCAGTCACAAGGTGGCTTTCCCCCGTCGGCCTGCTTGATGTTTACTGCTGTTGTGTTGACTTGGCAACACCAACGAGGCGCTGATGTCTGTGTTCACATTGATGTTTTACAACAACTTTACAACTGAGATAACGCGGGTGCTTATTCAGGTACCTCGACATTCAGCCTCACAAGTCTGACAGATGTGGCACCTCTGACCCTTGACCTGGAAATGAAAGCAAAAATAGACACTAACATGGTGGCTAGTGCTCACCATATGGTACCAGGAAAACAAACAGTGTCTGAATGATGTCTCTGTTCCCCACCATTAGGCTGGAAGGAGCCAACATTCTTGCAGTGACCCCTCCAGTTCTTCCTGCACCAAATATCACAAGAGATGCTTTGGTTTGATGTGGTGAATCAGCAGACTGCACCGTATGGTAATGACGCATATAGGACATGGGCTTCTTATTTTATAGTAGCCTAAAAACATCTGAGCAAGTGTTGGTGTGACAGTTACAAGCAGCAAGAAGAATCTTAAGAAAGTGGAAAAGATTTTGTGGGTAAAACATTTCAAATATGCAGAGCAGTTACATTGTGTCCAAAATTTCATTTACGTGTTTGTGACTTTGTGTGAGCAACAAAGAAGAAAGGTGAGGGCAGCCTAGGAGTTTAGCATGAAACCAGGATTGGACTTTCCAGATTCCATAATGCACAGTGTGTGGCTCAAACAGTAAAACCTCAGTAGTGCTCAGGTGAGAATGAAACAGTCATTTCCAGGATGAAGTCACATTTATGTCTCATTAACAGAAACAACTTTAGGAAAGAAAACATTACAGATGAGATGAAGAAATATCTTTCCAAATGTGCACTTATATTCTACTCTAATTCTATTCTTCTCTAATGTCAGGTGTGGTATTTCGTCTGGTTTGCTATCCTCATGGGGGCGTCCCATTGACATAATGCTTTCCCTAGCCGCTTACCCTAACCCTAGCCATCATAAAAGGAATGCCTATCACTTACCCTAAATCTAACCATAACCCAATTGTAATCCGGACATTGAAAACACATTTTAAGTGTGAAAAATGCCTTCAACCTCGTGGAGACCTGGAGTTTGGTCCCCACAAGGCCTGTTGGTCCCCACCAGTATAGTAAATTTCAGATTTTGGCCCCCAACAAGATAGTAAGAACACATGCGCGCACACGCACTCTTCTGCGTTGCAAATGTTGCTTATATGTGAACTCTAAGAGTAATGATAATTTAATGCCTCAAAGGAGAAATTTGTTTAGAACACACTAACACAACTTCAGTAGTCGTCACAAAAGGCTGCCAAACAATTAATTCAGATTATCTTACATACATACTGACTGTTTTTAACTTTGTGGGTTAACTAGTTGATTAGTTTGTTTTTTTTCAATGCTTAAGCAGATAGTAGAGCTGCGCCTGAATATTTGGATATTGTTTCACTTGTCTTTGTATTCTCTTTTGGTGCTTTATACCA